GATAAATGAAAACACAGACACAACATATCGGAATCTATGGGACACATTGAAAGCAGTTCTAAGAGGAAAATTCATTGCTTGGAGTTCATTCCTTAAAAAAAGAAAAAACCAACAAATAAATGATCTCATACTTCATCTCAAAATCCTTGAAAAAGAAGAGCAAAACAACAGCAAAAGAAGTAGAAGGCAAGAAATAATTAAAATCAGAGCTGAAATTAATGAAATCGAAACAAAAGAAACAATTGAAAAAATTGACAAAACTAAAAGTTGGTTCTTTGAAAAAATAAACAAAATCGACAGACCCTTAGCGATGCTAGCGAAGAGAAGAAGAGAGAGAACTCAAATTACTAGCATACGGGATGAAAAAGGCAATATCACAACAGACACTTCAGAAATACAGAAGATAATCAAAAACTATTTTGAATCCTTATACTCCAATAAATTAGAAGATAGTGAAGGCATAGATAAATTTCTTAAGTCATATGATCTGCCCAGATTGAGTCAGGAGGATATAGACAACCTAAACCGACCAATATCAATTGAGGAAATAGAAGAAACCATAAAAAGACTACCAACTAAGAAAAGCCCAGGACCGGATGGGTATACAGCAGAATTTTACAAAACCTTTAAAGAAGAACTAATACCAATACTTTTCAAGCTACTTCAGGAAATAGAAAAAGAGGGAGAACTTCCAAATTCATTCTATGAGGCCAACATCACCCTGATACCTAAACCAGACAAAGACACTTCAAAGAAAGAAAACTACAGACCAATATCTCTAATGAACCTAGATGCAAAAATCCTCAATAAAATTCTGGCGAATCGGATACAAAAACATATCAAAAAAATTGTGCACCATGATCAAGTAGGATTCATCCTTGGGATGCAAGGCTGGTTCAATATACGGAAATCAATAAATGTTATTCACCACATCAATAGACTTAAAAATAAGAACCATATGATCATCTCGATAGATGCGGAAAAAGCATTCGACAAAGTACAGCATCCCTTTATGTTCAAAACTCTAGAAAAACTAGGGATAACAGGAACATACCTCAATATTGTAAAAGCAATCTATGCTAAGCCTCAGGCTAGCATCATTCTGAATGGAGAAAAACTGAAGGCATTCCCTCTAAAATCTGGAACAATGCCCTCTCTCTCCACTTCTGTTCAACATAGTTCTCGAAACACTGGCCAGAGCAATTAGACAGACGAAAGAAATTAAAGGCATCAAAATAGGAAAAGAAGAACTTAAATTATCACTATTTGCAGATGATATGATTCTATACCTAGCAGACCCAAAAGGGTCTACAAAGAAACTATTAGAGCTAATAAATGAATTCAGCAAAGTGGCAGGATATAAAATCAACACGCATAAATCAAAGGCATTCCTGTATATCAGCGACAAATCCTCTGAAATGGAAATGAGGACAACCACTCCATTCACAATATCTTCAAAAAAAATAAAATACTTGGGAATCAACCTAACAAAAGAGGTGAAAGACTTATACAATGAAAACTACAGAACCCTAAAGAGAGAAATAGAAGAAGATCTTAGAAGATGGAAAAATATACCCTGTTCATGGATAGGCAGAACTAACATCATCAAAATGGCGATATTACCAAAAGTTCTCTATAGGTTTAATGCAATGCCAATCAAAATCCCAACGGCATTTCTTGTAGAAATAGAGAAAGCAATCATGAAATTCATATGGAAAAATAAAAGACCCAGAATAGCAAAAACAATGCTAAGCAGGAAGTGTGAATCAGGCGGTATAGCGATACCAGACTTCAAACTATACTACAGAGCAATAGTAACAAAAACAGCATGGTACTGGTACCAAAACAGGCGGGTGGACCAATGGTACAGAATAGAGGACACAGAAACCAATCCACAAAACTACAACTATCTTATATTTGATAAAGGGGCTAAAAGCATGCAATGGAGGAAGGATAGCATCTTCAACAAATGGTGTTGGGAAAACTGGAAATCCATATGCAACAAAATGAAACTGAATCCCTTTCTCTCGCCATGCACAAAAGTGAATTCAAAATGGATCAAGGAGCTTGATATCAAATCAGAGACACGCCGTCTGATAGAAGAAAAAGTTGGCTACGATCTACATTCGGTGGGGTCTGGCTCCAAATTCCTCAATAGGACACCCATAGCACAAAAGTTAATAACTAGAATCAACAAATGGGACTTACTCAAACTAAAAAGTTTTTTCTCAGCAAAAGAAACAATAAGAGAGGTAAATAGGGAGCCTACATCCTGGGAACAAATCTTTACTCCTCACACTTCAGATAGAGCCCTAATATCCAGAGTATACAAAGAACTCAAAAAATTAGACAATAAGAGAACAAACAACCCAATCAACAAATGGGCCAAGGACCTGAACAGACACTTCTCAGAGGAGGACATACAGTCAATCAACAAGTACATGAAAAAATGCTCACCATATCTAGCTGTCAGAGAAATGCAAATCAAAACCACCCTAAGATACCATCTCACTCCAGTAAGATTGGCAGCCATTCTGAAGTCAAACAACAACAAGTGCTGGCGAGGATGTGGGGAAAAGGGTACACTTGTACATTGCTGGTGGGACTGCAGATTGGTGCAGCCAATTTGGAAAGCAGTATGGAGATTTCTTGGAAAGCTGGGAATGGAGCCACCATTTGACCCAGCTATTCCCCTTCTCGGTCTATTCCCTAAAGACCTAAAAAGAGCATGCTACAGGGACACTGCTACATCGATGTTCATAGCAGCACAATTCGCAATAGCAAGACTGTGGAACCAACCTAGATGCCCTTCAATAGACGAATGGATAAAAAAAATGTGGCATTTATACACAATGGAGTATTACTCTGTATTAAAAAATGACAAAATCATAGAATTTGCAGGGAAATGGATGGCATTAGAGCAGATTATGCTAAGTGAAGCTAGCCAATCCCTAAAAAACAAATGCCAAATATCTGCTTTGATATAAGGAGAGTAACTATGATCAGAGTAGGGACGAAGAGCAGGAGAAGAAGATTAACATTTAACAGGGATGAGAGGTGGGAGGGAAAGGGAGAGAGAAGGGAAATTGCATGGAAATGGAAGGAGACCCTCAGGGTTATACAGTGGAGGGGGTAGAGAGAGAGGAGGTGAGGGGAGGGGAGGGGAGAGGTGGGGAGGGGGGAGGGTGGAGGATGGGAAAGGCAGCGGAGCACAACAGACACTAGTATGGCAATATGTAAATCAATGGATGTGTAACTGATGTGATTCTGCAGTCTGTGTATGGGGTGAAGGTGGGAGTTCATAACCCACTTGAATCAAAGTGTGGAATATGTCAAGAAATTTGTAATGTTTTGAACAACCAACAATAAAAAATTTAAAAAAATAAAAAATAATATTGTTGATGAAAAACAGAAGTACATAAGATTAAGAAATTCTGTAGAAAACTAAAAAGGGAAGTAAAATAAAAATCAAATGCAGAAACACTTGTCACATCAACCTGAAAATTTAGATAGAGGAAATGAGTGACTTTTGAGTAAAAATACACGTTAATAAAATGACTCAAAATATCAAATGGGCCAATCAGCACAGAAGATCTTGCAATGATGCCGAGTTCCACTGCAAAAGACCCCTGGACTGTAGAGGCTTGCAACTATGTTAAATGACTCTCACAAATCCCAATTTTAAATAAAATGGTCCAGATCTACAAAAAGAAAGAAGAGAGGTAGCTTTTTCAACTCATCCTTGTATACTATGAAAGCCTGGCATAGTCAAGAGTTTGTCTGTGTGGGGTGGTGATTTCTACACAACAGATGTTATTTTCTGTGCTATTGTTAATATGATGTGACTTTCTCAACCAAAGAAAGTAATGAGTTCACTTCCATGAATGTCATGGAATAAACGTTAGCAAATTCTGGCTTCGAATACAAAATATATTTCAATAATGCTGCAAGTTTTCACACACCTGTTTTTCAATTTTTCAACTCTATTACTTTAGCACTGTAAGGAAAATGAACAATCAAAACATGAATAACAGTAGTGGTGTGGTGGAACCCTCCCTGGGCTCAGCAGTGACTTTGGGGTGCCTCACTGGCTTCTATTGTGACCCTCCGAATGTCTCAGGCCTTCTCCTTCCTCCACACCAGGTTTTTACTCACATGGACCCAGAGTCGGTGTGCTGAAGAGCCATCAGAGCCTCAGTGGAGGGGTGCTTTCCTAAAATAACCCTTGCTAAATTAGGCAAGAGAACCAGATGAATATAAAGGCTCCCTCCAAAAATGTCTCCAACATGCCAATACCCCTGAACAGGCAAAAACAACAGGAGAGAACTACTGTGTGGTTGACGATGACTTTTTTATGTTCCACAATATATTTAAGCATTTTTATTTGAAAATATCTCTCTATTGTTTTCTGTTCATTAAAAATTCTGATATAGGGCTGGGGATGTGGCTCAAGCGCTAGCGCGCTCGCCTGGCATGCGTGCGGCCCGGGTTCGATCATCAGCACCACATACAAAGATGTTGTATCCACCGAAAACTAAAAAATAATAAATATTAAAAATTCTCTCTCTCTCTCTTTAAAAAAAATTCTGTTATATAAAAATACTGTGCTTTGTGAAAAGCTGGTAACAGGGCTGGGACTATAGCTCAGTTGGTAGAGCGCTTGCCTTACATGCACAAGGCCCTGGGTTCAATCCCCAGCACCCCACCCCCCCCACACACACACACACAAAAAGGCTGGTAACATCGCAACATTAAAAAAAATTTACTGTTTAATGAGCTGTCCCTTCCTGATGAAAGTATCCCCAAATTCATTTCTCCCGTTTCTCTGAACATCCAATATACCAACTTGGGGATGAAAGGAGACCACACAGGATTCTTTCTCTTGTGTAGATTTTGATAAACAGGGACTAGCAATTTTGCTCAGAAAGATTTTCCACCTTCAAAAAGTGAATCAGGAAAAGTGGGCTATTGGGTTATAATGCAAACAAACCACACATACAATGACTTAAGAGTATTTATTTCTCTCTAATACAAAGTAACAAGGGAGATTCTGGGGTAGAGTTTTGGAGATCTCTGCTCTCCTCAATCAATTCCTTCTCAAATCACAGTGGTCTTATCCCACCAACAGCTCCCAGTATCACCCTGGGATCATCTGGACTTAAGTCCCACAGGTTATGGGAAATAGGGAGGCACCACAGTCACCAGTCGCTAGATGTGGGCATGACATCCACACTTGCATACACACCCCTCTGGACAGCACTCAGGTCCAGGATACAACAGTGAGGCTGAGAAGTGTAGACTCAGTGTATGTCCACTGAAAGGAGAGTGGGGAGCATACACCTGCCTCTGCCATGCAGCGCTCCTTGTGGAAGTTCTCTGAAGCTTGATGACTGCTCTGACAAAGGCTGGCTTTTCTCTCCTGTGAGCTCTTAGGTGCCTACTGAGGTCTGACTTCCTATCAAAAGATTTTCCCACATTCTTGAAGCACAGGTTTCTACCTTGTATGAGTTCTCTGGTGCCTGCTGAGGTGTGATTTCTGGCAAAAGGTCTTCCTACACTCATCACACCCATAGGGCTTCTCTCCCGTGTGGGTCCTCTGGTGCACAGTGAGGACAGACTTCTGGTAGAAAGACTTCCCACATTTGCTACATCCATAGGGCTTCTCTCCTGTGTGGGTCCTCTGATGTACAGTGAGGTCTGACTTCTGGTAGAAAGACTTCCCACACTCCTTACATTCGTAGGGCTTCTCTCCTGTGTGTGTTCTCTGATGAACAGTGAGTTTTGACTTCTGATAGAAAGTTTTCCCACACTCATCACATTCATAGGGTTTCTCTCCTGTGTGCGTCCTCTGGTGCACAGTGAGGTCTGACTTCTTGTAGAAAGACTTCCCGCATTCCTTACATTCATAGGGCTTCTCTCCTGTGTGGGTCCTCTGGTGTAGAATAAGGTCTGACTTCTGGTTGAAAGACTTCCCGCATTTGCTGCATTCATAAGGCTTCTCTCCTGTGTGGGTCCTCTGGTGCCTGCTCAGATTCGACTTCTGGTTGAAAGACTTCCTACACTCATCACACTCATAGGGCTTCTCCCCTGTGTGGGTCCTCTGGTGCACGGTGAGGTCTGACCTGCGGTAGAAAGATTTCCCGCACTCGTGACACTCATGAGGCTTCTCCCCTGCGTGAGCTCTCGGCTGCAAAGTGAGGTCTGGCTTCTGGCAGAGAGACTGAGCACCCAAGTCACACTTACAGGGCTCCTGTGTATGTGTTCTTTGCTGTGTCAGGAAGGGCCTCTCACATTCACTGCACACCCAGGGTTTCGTTCTCTGGTGGTGAGTGAGTGTGGGCTTGATGGAGAGGGTCTTTCGGCAGACCCCACACTCATAAGCTCTCCTTCCCACATGGGTTACCCCCTGGACACCAACAGCAAACTGACCACAGCCCTCCGCATAGGCACTGTATTTGCAGGAGGGTTCTCCCAGGTGAACCCTCTCCTGGATGAAGAATATCGTCCCTGTGCCACAGGCCCCACCTTCTCCACCCCGCTCAAGGTCCTGCTGCATCGCTTGAACCTGGTGTTGTGGACCAAGATGCTCAGGGTGCCTGAGGGGCTTTCCAGTCAGGTCACAGGCACCAGGCCCCTCTCCTACATGCATGGTATCAGGCTCACCAGGAAGAAGCATGTTCTGATATACAACAAGCTCATCCATCCTCATTCCTAAGTAGTTTCCATTACTTACAATCAGCTCTGAAATCTGGCTTGAGCTTAAATTAAATGCTCTTTGTAATTCAACTCTCTCTTCGTCTGCACTGCGTCTGGTGATCACAACTTGCCACAGATGTCTTTCTCGACTCTCCTGGCTGGTCTCACTCAGATCCTCCACTTTCTGGATATCTGAAATGATCAACAACAAGAAAACATGCCAATGAAGCACACACCTAGGCACTTCTTATGGAATACTTACATAAAGGTTAAGAAGTTTCTTTCTATCCCAGTGGCCTAGTGACTTAAAATATCACAAATAGGTACTGATGTATGATAAGCATATGCCTTTTCTCCCTAATAAGTTGAGAGTTACCTCAGCATTGGTAGCTTTTACTATGTTAAATCACTCTTTTTCTCTGCTTGTTTGAGTTTTCTTTCTCTTTTAATATCCAAGGAAATATTTAGTCAAAATATCTAACCACCACTTGTCTGTATGTTAAGCTGAGTGCTTCTCATCTGCCATTTGTTTTCCTTCCTTTTGTCTATTTTTTCTTAGTAACTGACCACTTTGTGTCACTTCTTTTCTGATTCATTAGCTCTGAAGATGGTATTTCCCAGGATCTGCTACCACAGAACAAATAGGGCCATTTGTCTGTAACCTAAGCAGCAATGCTCCTGGGGGCAAGCTTCTATATCTACATTTGTTTAGTCTTCCTGGGGAAACAGTACAAGGCAACTGTGGGGTTTTCAAATCTCTTCCCCACCCTAGATGAAGACAACATCCATCACATCCCTAGTTCAACCTGACATCCTCTGCTTTTCAGAACTGTAACAGGCAGGGTCCATACCCATTGCCGCCTTGGGCACTCCCTCCCTGCTGATCTAAAGGTTTTGTTTCTGCAACCCAGGCTGTGCTTGCCATCACTGAGAAGTCTTCCAGCTGAGACCACAGCCCTGGCACTCTCCTGTTTCTGGAGCATGCACCCTGCTTGAAGAATGTACTGATATTTCAACAGTCTCCTGGTTTCACAGAAAACAACTCTTGCACGCATCTCACTCTCCTTCTTGTTTTCATGTGTCCCACAAAGAGAAAGGGAAAATGTTCACTTCCATAACTCCACTCCCAAACAGAAACCTATGCACTCACACCCTTGGTTCACCTGGCCTTGAAACACAGATCTCTAGTTCTCCTCCCAACTGGGGAAAGACTGTGAGAGGAGCTCAACAGCATACCCACCTCATGTGGATTGGACTCTGCCCCTCCTGCCCCCTGCCCAGGATATGCTGACTGACCTGGATGGCTCTGGTCTGGGGGCTCTTCTGCCACCCACGGCTCTGCTCCTTGCTCCAGCTTGATGATCGCCTCAGGTTTGGGGATGCAGTGCCCTGTAGGGGGAAATGGTGCCGGACTCTGGCCTACGGTGGGTCCTCCTCAGCATCACAGAATCTCATGTCCTGTACACAAAGCTATCTCCTGGATTTCTTTTCTCATTTTTCTTTACTCCTTAGGTGAGCTTTATAAATAATAGCTCTTGACTTTAAATTACAGCTTTAAACTATTAGTTTCCAAAGTCATATTTCCATCACTGATACACACTCTATATTATATGTTGTATTTGGAAAATCACCTCCTCAAAATTAAGCAGTCCCAAAGTAAACTATAATCTCTCTAAAACAGTTTCCTCTTGGGACCCTTCCCAAAATACACCCCACTCACTCTGCCTTATCCCAGAAAAACATTTTTGGCGGTTCTTATCTCGCAACTACATATATTTGGTTTTTCTTTCTCAAAAAAAAAAAAAAAATAAGTTCTTTAAAAGGAGATATATGTGTTTAATCACTGCTGTTATTCCCACAGCCACCAAACACTAGCATCTGTGAGTTACCTGCCTGGCAAGCACTGAAAGAACCAGTGAATGTCATGATAAATATCTGCGGGGGACAGTCCTGAAGTGTGAGGGGGAAGGGGCAACTGAGACTTTAGAGAAGCTTGCTGAGAAAAAAGCCCAGGAGCCGTGGGATGGTGGATGGACACAGGAGAGCCACCTGTGAAGACTGTAGGATGCAGGTGTCTGACTCAGGGGTAGGACCAGGGGAAATGCCTCATCCAGCTCACTCGGCACACATGGGCTGGGCTCTGCCCCTCCCACCCCCTGCCCAGGATATGCTGACTGACCTGGATGGCTCTGGTCTGGGGGCTCTTCTGCCACCCACGGCTCTGCTCCTTGCTCCAGCTTGATGATCGCATCAGGTTTGGGGATGCAGTGCCCTGTTGGAGGAAATAGTGCAGGACTTTGGCCACACTGCTACCCAGGGCCCTCTGAGGAACAACAACAGTATGGCTTCTGGAGGAGGGTAATGAAGGGGTCAATATGAACCTTTGTTAGTGGAACCCCATACCCTGACAGCAGTAAACCCTGTGGTGCTCACACTTCCTCAGAACAAACTTGCTCCTGGCATTACTGAGACCTTCACTCACCCAAGGACACCAGGCTGCTGTAGGTCTCCAGCATCACATCCTTGTACAAGGTCCTCTGAGCTTCATCCAGGTCCTGCCACTCATCCCAGCTGAAGTTCACAGCCACATCCTCAAATGACACCAAGCCCTGCAATGGAACATGCTTCTAATTCAAGTCATCAGTACCAGGTCATGAGAACAAAAAGCCTGGGAGTTCATTCTGTGTGTGTGAGCATGCTCTGTAGGCCACTCCGTGGGGGGGAAGTCATAGCAGAAACATCCTGCCCATACTAAAACTGCCCCATGCAGCTTCCCTTGCAGATGTGGGATTGCCTTGTCAGGGACAAAGGGATGGAAACCCCTTCCCCCACGAGACTATGATCATATGAGGACATTAAATGTAAGTGCCTACTGAACTAGGGTGTTGAGCTAATTTAAAAGCAAGTATAATGGAAATCAGGGTAACATGGAAATAGGAAAACCATGTTTTTCTGTGTTATCAGACTGCCCTTCACTGAAGAGGCAGAGCCCCAATCTTCCCCATGAATGTGTTACAAACACAGGGAAGCAATGGTCCAGTCCTGAAACAAGGCAGAACACATATCACACGAACAGAACTGCAAAAGGGCAATGTCCAGGTGAGTGACCTTCGGCTCTGAAGTGTACAAGGAGTTGGTTGTGGGTGTTCTACATTTAACACTTGACTCCAGCAATAAAAAGCCTGTGCTCACTGTTGTTAGCATGCTCATAGGCATCTTCATATTCCCTTCCTAAATCCACAAGAATTGATGCACTTGAAAGTGAACATCGCTCACCTCTTATACCAGAGGGCGTAAACAATGAGAGGCCAGCAAAAATAAGTGACATGCCCAGATTAGCACTGACTCCTGAAAGAAGAATTAGGGAAGGGCCTCAAGAGGAGAGTCGGAAAGAACCAGGGGACAGGACCACCCTCAGCAGGACCCAGAGAGATAAGAATAAAGAATAGGGAAACAATCCTGGAAAAGAGAAGAAAACAAAAGAAATGGCAGAAACAAAACTTGATACTAACTGCTGTGTAGGGGTTAAGAGGGTGTTTGCCACTAGGCTGTCTTCATGGGCAGCTCCATAGAGCCTGATGCTATAAACTGAAAATGGGTAAAGGCCCAAGAATCTGATGCACAGAATGTGATGGACACATGGTGCTGAAGCTTCTGCATCATCATGGGGATGTCCTGCTGGCAGTGGACACGTGACCCAAGCACAGGGAACTCGAAACTGAAGGCAAATGTCCATGAAATAGTAAGGACTCAGAGGCAAATGAAGCCCAGGGAGTAAATGGCATGCTCAAGAGAAGCTCAGATTCAAAGCAGAAAAGGCATGAGTGCAGAACTTAAGGGGACACTCATGTTCACTGACAGAGAGAGAATGTGTAAGGCTTACTCCAGCAACAAGGAAAAAGTTCAATATTAAGAATTTTATTTCATCATATTCAGAGCTCATGGAAAAGACTATGACTCAGGAGTCTGTGGCAGGAGGATGGCTGAGCCCAGGAGTTCAAGACCAGCCCAGGCAGAGGCCCCATTTCAAAAAAGATTACTGTGATCATCACGTGGACAACACTGATAAAAAAAAAAAAGCTGCAGCTCTGCTGGCTTGGGACCTTGGACAGTAAAGTTCAGGCTGAGACAACAATCACAAAACTGGGGAGGGGCAAGTCCTAGGAGTGAGTGAGCTAAAGAATACAAGCCACCAAATCAGCACACAAGATCCACCAGAGTACTGGCCAACTTACCTACTTGGGAAACCACAGAGGGATCAACAAGACACTAGTTTAAAAACTATGACTAAGGTGAAGAAGGATCAGGAGACGAGAAGGAGGGGAGCAGGGGGAAGTCTGAATTAGAACAAATTATATTCCATGCTTCAGGGGTAGAGCTCTCACCTAGCATGTGTGAGGAACTGGGTTCGAACCTCAGCACCACATAAAAATAAAATAAGGGAAAAAAATGTATCCTAATGTTTATAACTAAAAATAATCAATTTTTTAAAACCCAGCCCCTGGAAGCTGAAAGAGATGGAGAATCAGCTACTAATCCTCATAAGGAATGCGTTGTTTGGATTTTGAATCCAGTCAGTGAGCTGCCTTATAGAACAAAAATCACTTCTCCAAAGAATTCAATAGTATCCACAAACTCTAAGGTTTATAACACCCAGGATAAAACTCAGAATCACTGTTCATGTGAAGAAATTGGAAGAAGTGGGTGACTTATGTGTAGGGTGGAAAATCCCCAGACCAAACACAGTCCACCCAGCTATGACAGGAGAACAGACTGCTCAGCCACCAAAGACCACCTTCATGTCAGGAAGAAGCAGAGGAGGACCAGCAGTGGAAAAAGAAACCAGAAGAAAATGCAAAGTCTTTACCAGTAAAAACATTACAAAACCAGAATGGAAGTTTGCCAATTGATTTAGCAGCAGATGAGAAGACAAAAGAAAGCAATAGAACCTGAAGATGGTCAATATATATTTTCTAACCTTTATGAAAAAAAAGAAGAAAAACAGAGTCTCAGAAAACAGTGGGGAAATTTAGAAATAATTCAACATGTACATTACTGGCATTTCAAAAGAAAACAAGTACAGAACACAAAACACAAGTTTAGAAACCTTCCCAGATGTTGTGACAGCAGTTTATAGGCTCAAGACACTCAACCTCCCTTCATCAGGACAGAAACTACCTGGGAACATAACAGTGGAATTGATGAGATCCAAAGAAAAGAGAGGAGCATGAAAGCAGCCAAAGAAAGGACAGCCACCATGCCTGAGACAGCCACATGTGAGGAACGCCAACTTTCATCATGGAAAGACATCTTCACAGAGTTGACAGAAAAGACACAATCCCACACCAGAGGAACTATCCTAAAGACCATGTAAATTAAAGACATTTTCAGATAAACACAACTAAGACGATTCACCGCTAGTAGGCCCATATTGCAAGATACCAAAGAAGTTCTGCAACTGCAACAGATTGCCCCAAGAACTGACGAAGACAAACAGAGGAGGATCAGGATCAAAGAAATGGGAAACGCCGCACACAACAGATGGATTATAGATAAATTTTCCTCTTCATTTTTTATTCTTTTTTTGGTACCAGGGATTGAACTCAGGTGTTTAATCACTGAGCCACATCCCCAGCCCTTTGTATTTTTTTATTTTTAAATCAGGCCTCACTATGCTGGTCAGGGCCTCACTTAGTTGCTACAGCTGACTTTGAACTTGCAATCCTCCTGCCTCAGCCTCCCCAGCCACTGAGATCACAGATATGTGCCACCGAACCCAGCACTTTTCGTCTCTTTTAATCTCTTTAAAAGATATATGATTGTTTAAGCACAATTACTACAACACCTAGGTAACTCCTAATGTATACAGATTCAGCAGGTAACTACCTGTGTACAAAGACAAAAAAGCAGAAAAGACAGAGGTTATACAGGGAACCATTCCACTGAAAAGTACTTGCATTTTACGGGAAGCTATATGGCAGCACTATAAGTATGACAAACTGAAGATCCTCAAAGGATGGTGAACAAATACAGCACGATAGTTCCCTATGGCTGCCATAGCAAAGAACCAGCCCAGGTAACAGCAGCTTTCCTCGCCTGTGGAGGTGGGGCTGCAGGCTGTGGGCTTCTGAAGCTTCGGCTCTGCCTGAGGATGGCCTTCCTCTGCATGGAGACACCCTCATTTCTTTCTTGTGACTAAATAGACTGACAAGGTTAGTGCCCCCACATAATCTTAACAACCTTTCCAATGTATACAGGAGGCTCTCCCCGTGGGTTCTGCATCTGTGTATTCAACCAATTTCAGATAAAAAAACATTTGAAAAAAAATTAACTCTGTACTGAACAAGTGGAGTTTTTTTAGATTGTCATTATTCCCTGAACAAAGCAGTATAACTATTACAACTATTTACACAGCATTTAAATTGCATTAGGTATTATAAGTAATTTAGAAATAATTAAAGTGTATGGGAAGATGTGCATGGATTATACGCAAATACTACAGCATTTTACATAAGAAACTTGAGCATCTACAGATTTTGGTATCTCTGGGGTTTCCTGGAATCTGTGCCCTACAGATGCCAAGGGAAGACTACACTAAAAATTTTAAAAGACAGGAAAGAGGAAACAGAAACAAATATTAGATGAGACAAACAGAAAACAGGTAGTAAAATGGTAGTGCTAAGTCATCATACTAATGATTTAATGTAAATAGAGTATTTAAGGCAGAGAATCTTGGACTTGACAAAAAAATAGACTCAACAATATGCTCTCCATAAAGACAATTTAAATATAAAGACACAAAACCAACTAAGTAAATATAGACACTGACTGGGGGCTGGGGATGTGGCTCAAGCGGTAGCGCGCTTGCCTGGCATGCGTGCGGCCTGGGTTCAATCCTCAGCACCACATACAAACAAAGATGTTGTGTCCGCCGAAAACTAAAAAAATAAATATTAAAATTCTCTCTCTCTCTTTAAAAAAATATAGAAACTGACTGAAAGCAAAAGGATGAAAGATACACTATGCAAAAATAATAACAAAAAAGCTCAAGTAGAGCTACCAGAGGAAATAAACTTCAATATAAAACATAGAGCACAGACAAGAGACCACTCATGGTAATAACAGTTATGAATGTGTGTGCACCTAAAAACAAAGTCTTATGGGACATGAAAAAAAAGCCTCAAAACTAAAGAGGGAAATCAAACCCTCCACCATTATGGCTGGGAATCAATACTCATCTTGTAGTAACTGATGGGACAACCAGACAAAAGACATGAATGGCACCACTCTAACCTGACACCCAGAGAGAAGAGGACTCAAGGTGGAAATCATGAGCATGCTCCATGTCCACATGGAACTAAATTAGAAATCAACAACAATAACAAAAACAGAACTTTACCTAAATACTAAGTGATGTAAAAGAAGAAAGCACAGGGAAATTAAAGTGCACCTGGAACAAAATATACTTATTGTAAGACTGGCACTCATGGCAGGTCAAAGGCAGCCACAAACTCTTTCCCCTCCTTGGGGTGGGAACAACGCCCCTGCAGATAGAATCTGTGCCTGCACAGCCAGCTTAGTCAGAATGTGGCACAGCTCAAACAATAGTAAAAGTTAGAGATGAAAGACTGTCCTCAACTTGAGAGGTAGAGTTGTTAAAGTTCAGACTGAATATCAGTCTCTGAATAAAAGGATGACAATCATCTCACACATTATGTTATACTAACAAACTATAACTGTGAATTTTAAATGTTAAGAAAAAACATAGGGAAGTAACCTCATGACACTGGGTTTAACAATTCTTTCTTGGATATTATACCAAAAACACAAGTAACAAAAACCAGTAAGTTGAATTATACAAAATTGAAATCTTTTGTGCATCAAAGGACACTATTCAACAGAATGAAAAGATAATCAATGGAACGGGAATCATATATAAGACAATAACATCCAGAACATGTAAAACAAAATCCTACAACTCAAAAAAACCCAAAACCTTGTGGTTTAGTCAGCTTTTTCACTATTGTAACTAAAAGATCCAACCAGAACAACTTTAGAGGAAGAAGAGTTAATTTAGGGCACAGTTTCAGAGGTCTGAATTCAGAAGATTCCATTCCTCCGGGCTCAAGGTGAGGCTGAACAAAGTGGCAAAGGAATGTGGCAGAGGGAAGCAGTTCACATGATGATAAGTAAGCAGAGAAAGAGATTCCACTTGCCAGATAAAAAATATATACCCTAAAGCCATGTCCCCAATGTCCACCTCCACCAGCCACATCTATCAGTTATCACTCAGTTAATCCCTAACAGGAGATTAATTCACTGATTGGGTTAAGACTCTCACAGCCCAATAATTTCTTCTCTAAACCTTCTTGCTTTGGCTCACAAGTGAGATTTTGGGGGACACCTCACAATACATACAAATGGTTGATACTACAGTCATCAGAAAAATACAAATCAAAATCACAATGAAATAACCCTCCATACCCATTAGGTACAAATGATTCAAATCTGTGCATCTCATTCTCTATATATCTTTTAACCAACCCTTGTTCAAATGTGCCCCACTAACCCCTGAACACTGGATAATAAATAAGCATAGTTCCTGAGAGATCAAACCTGTCATTTGAGCACTCATGTCCTTCAGATTTTGCAAAGAGTAACATTTCCACTGCAACAAGATTACTACATTTGTTTGTGAGCAACAAAAGCTCCTCCCCCTATATTAGCCCTATACACATATATTAGCCTAACATGAAAAGAAAAAACCAGAGCAGCGCAACTTGACATGAAAACCAGAACTGAGAGGGAAGGAGAAAGCAGTCCTGGAGAAATTCTATTTTGTTGCTTGGGTCACTGGCTGGAAGGTGTCAATTGCTAGCGTAGGGATGAGAGGATATGAATGAGAGGATTGGATTCATGAAGCCTGAGGTGCCTTTGGAATAGCAGCAGAGAAGCACTCAACAGGAAGATGAATCTATAGTCTAACAGTGGGAAAAGATCCAAGCTGGAAATAGGAATGTCAAATCGGAGGGCCACATCAGTCAAAAAACTCAAGAGTAAGAGGAATGGGGCCTCAGATGGAACACTTGAAGAAAAAAAAAAAAGGCAAAAAAAAAAATCCATGGAAGAAAAAAATCACAAGAGGCCACAGAAGAAAATAAAAGATGGGATTTCTAAAAGATCATGGACAGAGGTCTTAAATATGGCAAAAGATTCAATAGTCAATGGGTCTGACTATAATTTAGGTTACCGGTAAGCGTTTGACAAAATGAACTGAGACTTCATTGACTGGACTAAAGTACAAATGAGTGGGAATATACACCAGAAAATCCAACTTTGCAGTTAGCTGCATACTTTACAGCCACACAAGCTGAGAGAGATGTGTAGACAGTTTTTTCATTACATATGGTCAATTCAATCCTCCAGGCCACCGAAAAGCTATCTGGGATCAACTATTTTAGCAACTCCAGTAAAACCTCATTAAGGTAGCTAAATGTAACCAATGAAGACAGCATTTCCACCTTGGGTTCAGCAAGTCTTCATATCCCAGAAGTTAGCATGCCACCCTTGTGGGTTTGTTGAATTATGTAAAAATTATGCCTCCCTTTTTTTGCCACAACATCAGAAAGACCAGAGACATATATGCACTCAACTTAGATGATTCTAAAGTCTTATAATCTGCTAAAACTACATGCCAATTTTATCTTATTTGTATGCATTTCCTAGAGGCTGAATCTTACTTTTCCACTTTTCCACTTAATTCTCAGACCCCATAAAGGTCATTAAATAAAATGTAAAACAGAATGGAGAAACAACTCACCAGAGATGTATCCATTTTTGTTTGCTCTTGGAAATGCACAGAGGGCTCTGGAAGCATAGCTAGGAAAGGTGGTGAATGGAGTGGAGTCATGGAGAATTGGTATGGCTCAGATTCTCCTGCTCAAAACACTAGAGAGAAGCTGAAACAGAAATTTTAAAAAGCCTCTATATGGAAGAGAACCCTCTATGTTTCAGTATGGACACCAAAGTTCCCACTGAAGACACACCTACAATCCCACTAATTGGTAAAGATTAGAAATACAATTCATTTTGAGTTACTTAAAACAACTATTACCTACAGATTTAGCAACAAATTAACATTTCCCAAAGAAATAAAAACTTAACAAAAACTGTTACAGATATATACTTCACAAGTGAACTATTTTACTATTGAGGCAGGATACCCCAGAGGACCCCATGTGAGCATTTCCACCACACCCCTTGGTTTGCATACTTAAGTTTCATGAAAAGTATGCATGTGCTGCGCATGATGGCACATGCCTGTGATCCCAGCAGCTTGGGAGGCTGAGGCAGGGGGATCGCAAATTCAAAACCAGCCTCAGCAAAAAGCGAGGCACTGGGGCTGAGGTTGTAGCTCAAGTGATAGAGTGCTCACCTAGCATGTGTGAGGCACTGGGTTTGATCCTCAGCACCACATAAAAATAAAAGAAAGATATTGTATCCACCTAAAATTAAAAAATAAATATTTAAAAAAAGTAAGGCACTAAGGAACTGAGACCCTGTCTCAGTTGGGGATGTGGCTCAATGGTGAGTGCCCCTGAGTTCAATCCCTGGTACCAAAAAAAAAAAAAAAAAGTATGCTTGCTGCAACCCATCATTTTGGACCCATAGTTATATAGGAAAAATATACATAATATATACTTCTTATAGTACACTGTTCCAGTAGTGGTTCCCAACAAGCCATCTCTCTGTATGCAAGCACTCATACAGTACCACAAACCTGGACTCTGCTATTTATGTTACTGCCTTGGCCAATGAGACAACAGGAAATGTCAAACACACACGTTTGAAAAGCACTTGCCCACTGGTGCTGGTCTCTTCGGACAAAGACATGCTGTGAAGAAGCCTGGGGCTACATTGCTCTAGCCAAGAGCTAGCGCAAATTACTAACCATGCAAGTGTTAAGGCAAGCAGCCTCAGTTGAGGCACCCGATGTCCAAAGCCTCATGTGTGATCCAGACAACACTAGCAAAAAATTTCCAGCTGAATTCCTTCCAAAATGTGGAGCCACAGAACCTCAAATAAATGAGTGCATATTTTTCTCAGTATGTATCAGTTGGTTAGGGTTAGTAAGTGCTTATATACTAATCATCCAGAATGCAATTTTTAAAAAATATTTTTAGCTGTGGATGAACACAATTTACCTATTTTTATGTGGTGCTGAGGATCAAACCTAGTGCCCCACACATGCTAGGCAAGCACTCTGCCACTGAGCCACAACCACCCAGCCCAAGAACTCAATGTTTTTGTTTGGGGTTTTTTTTTGGGGGGGAGTGGTACTTTGGACTGAATTCAGGGGCACTCGACCACTGAGCCACATCCCCAGCCCTATTTTGTATTTTATTTACAGACAGGGTCTCACTGAGTTGCTTAGCAACTCGTTTTTGCTGAGGCTGGCTTTGAACTCATGCTTTCTGACTCAGCCTCCTGAGCCACTAGGATTACAGGCATGTGCCACCAAGCTGGACAAGAACTCAGTGTATTTTAAGGGACAGTCTTAAAATACAATCAAGTTAGCTGCATGGCCACATGTACAAGTACTGAAAATCACAAGCAATGTCAACTGCATGGACTTCAGTAAGAATACTGGTATAAGTGGAGGCCACCTAAATCATTAAAAACAAAATATTTGCAGATCAATAGACTGTTTTAAGTTTTGCTACATCATAAAAGGTATGTTTACTTCAAAAAAATAGTTTGTTACATGTTAAGTGTCCCTTATTCCAAATGCTTGAGACCAGAATTATTTCAAATTTCAGAGTTTTCTGGATTTTGGAATATCTGCATAGATTTTTTTTAAGTTATAGGTGGACAAAATACCTTTGTTTTATTTATATGTGGTGCTGAGGATTGAACCCAGGGCTTCACAAGTGCTAGGTGAGCGCTCTACTGCTGAGCCACAACCCCAGCTCTCTGCATAGATTTTAATGGTTATATACCTAGTCCAAAATTGTTTCAAATTTCATATTTTTGGATTAAGGATGCCTAATCTATACTTAAAAGAACACACTGTGCCATATTTTATTTACATTTATGAAATTAGTTTGGAGAAGTGTGATCCAGCATAATTTTCCCATTTTAAGTTACAGGCTCATTTTATTACCAAATTTATGATTTTTAAAAATAGACAAATTACATTAGGCAAGAAACACTTGTGTTATCAACATTTTAAGGTGACAATCCACAAGAAGTACTAGGGATAAAAAAAGAGACGTGTTTAAGGCAATGTGTTTTAAAGTACAGTTTATGCTACATGGATAGTTTCCAAACAAACAAAAAACCAATCTCCAACAGTGAAAATAATACTAGTTGTTTTGATTAAACTTGTAGCAAAATTAATAATATTAGCTAAAAAGTCAGGATGCCTAACATTTACGTGATTCTCATGTGATCCTGTGTGAGGCACATCATCTTAGAACCAATTACTTCATCTTTCATATAAGACAGAAGGACCCTGGCAAGCCCTTCCTGAGCTACCAGCGAGAACCATCAGGACAGAGGGAGCACCTGCACATCTCTACAAGCCAAATTTGATGACAGACTGGCTTTGAAAGAGCTCAGATTCTGGAAACAATGGGGGCACGGATTGGAGGAACTAGAATGTGGTTAGAGAGCACTGTAGCCAGATCCTCTCTGGTGCAACAGGGTATCCCTCTACTCCAGATCACAATCCTATGCCCCCTCCAATAAGTAACATTTGCTAGGCTATGACTTATCCTTCAGCCCAGTTCATCTCTCTCTCCTGAAAGTTGGTCCACACCTTCCCAACAGCACCTTGTGGGTGAGAGCTTCAGATGAGGTAGCACTACCCAAACCTTGCGCACTCTGGGCAGGAGGACCAACTGCTTAGGTCATGCAAGGCTAGTATCCTCCCCTTCCTGGGACTCCTCTTATCTTAAGTGCTAGTGAGAGAATTCAGACCTGAGGGGTACTCTTTCAGGAGGGATTCCGATCCACAGGGCGCCCTCCTTCAAGCTTTACCACACCTACTTAATTCTTAAAAACATAGGGCCACCCCAATCTCCTGCGTATGATCTTCTGTAGACTCAAACCAAGAGCCCTAGGCGGGCTACACGGTGGCGGGGGATACAACTGCCACATCGCAGGATTGTCCACGTACACTTCACCACCCTCTGGGAACTGGGGGGTAGTTCATCAGGGTCGCTGCCAGCCTCATCTCACAGACCGGTAAACTGAAGGTCGCTCCGTGGCACAGCGGTCTGCACAGCCCCACCAGGCCCGCTCGCTGGGCCAGCTTCTTATACAGAAGGCATACAGGGCCTCCGGCCGCTTGGACTCCGACAAGGCTGTCACGACAGCCCACCCAAGCGCCGCGGCCCCGCGCCCGCCCCGAGGAACTCACGGAGCGTCGCCTCGGGGAGCCCTACCGCGGCTCGCACCTGCACTTCGGTGCCCCGCCTGCGACTCATTCACGGTTCGGCTCCCAGAGCCCCGAGGCCGGGGTGCCTCTGCCCCCATCGCACCAACCTTCTGGCTGGCCGCGTCGGAGGGCCGCAGGGACCGGAACTTCCGGGCGGGAAACTCCGGGAGTGGGCGGGGCACCGCACGCGCAGGAGGAAACTGGAACGCGCTCCCGAGTCTCGCGTGGGCGGCCTCTCGCGATGAGAGACATTTCCCACAAGCCTCTGCGCCGTGCGCTGGCGCCGCGGGAAGAAACTGTTCGCGGATCGCGGCGGTACCCGAGGTGGCCGGAGTCCGCACCCAGAGGCGGAGGTGTGTGGCTGCGAAGGGTGTGGTCGTTGTCTGGTGCGCCCTGAAACACCGCAGTTAGGAATCATAACGGCCCCTCTGGACACCTCTGCAAGGCATGTGTTTTCTGCCACTAGCCTGTGTCCGCGGACCGTGTTCCACGGGCGGACATCCTGCTCTAGCAGGTCACGGAGTCGATGCTCCGGAGCCTCTTGCAGGTTGCATTTCCGAAGTCTGCTAATTGTTTGCCCAGAAATTGCCAATTTCGGGCCAGCCATCTATCAGATCTCTAGTTTGTGAAATGGACTTGAACTTTGTCTTTCGCTTCTGGATTTCTGTCACGCACTGGGGTTTCTGGATCCGGGCCACCACCATGGCTCCTCAAGACAGGACATGCTGCTTGAGGGTCACAGTGTACTTGAGAGGAGGAGAAGGGAGTTAGGGGTGGGGTCGATGGCGCTGTGAGGCTGGCGCCCTTGCCCAAGACTCACCACTGTCTTCCTCTGTTGGAATTATCTAGTCCTATCCTACAACCCCCAGTGATTGTAGTCTACAGATCCAGAAGCTAAGCCTTGATCTTCCCAGAGCCCTCAAACATTGGAATCCCTGTCTCCCTCAGAGCCCTGGATCCCAGGCTTCTCTCTTGAACACCGTCGGTACACAGGACCTTGGTGCCTGATATAAAGTCCTGTTGTATGTGGGTTGATAGTCCCTCTCTTTATGTACCTCAGTCCTTTCTCCCAGAATGGGAAGAGTAAGGCACATTTCCTTAGCTCCCACCTTAAACCCAGCTCTAATGTAATCCATTTCTTTCCCCTATAATGGCACATTACTCAGAGCCAAGGAGAGAATCCAGGACCAGCCCACCACATTTCCAACACTAGCTGTGTTGTATTGTTTCAGTGTTCAAGTTCACATTTTTTTTTGTTGAATTTATTCCTAATTATTTTTTATATTACTGTAATATAAATAGAATTGATCCCTTTTTTTATTGGTTGTTCAAAACATTACAAAGCTCTTGACATATCATATTTCATGCATTAGATTCAAGTTGGTTATGAACTCCCAATTTTACCCCAAATAAAAATTGCAGAATCACATCGGTTACACATCCACATTTTTACATAATGTCCTATTAGTAACTGTTGTATTCTGCTACCTTTCCTATCCTCTACTATCCCCCCTCCCCTCCCCTCCCATCTTCTCTCTCTACCCCATCTACTGTAATTCATTTCTCTCCTTGTTTATTTTCCCATTCCCCTCACAACCTCTTATATGTAATTTTGTATAACAATGAGGGTCTCCCTCCATTACCATGCAATTTCCCTTTTCTCTCCCTTTCCCTCCCACCTCATGTATCTGTTTAATGTTAATCTTTTCTTCCTGCTCTTCCTCCCTGCTCTGTTCTTAGTTGCTCTCATTATATCAAAGAAGACATTTGGTATTTGTTTTTTAGGGATTGGCTAGCTTCACTAAGCATAATCTGCTCTAGTGCCATCCATTTCCCTGCAAATTCCATGATTTTGTCATTTTTTAGTGCTGCGTAATACTCCATGGTGTATAAATGCCACATTTTTTTTATCCATTCTTCTATTGAAGGGCATCTGGGTTGGTTCCACAGTCTAGCAATTGTGAATTGTGCTGCTATGAACATCCATGTAGCAGTATCCCTGTAGTACGCTCTTTTAAGGTCTTCAGGGAATAGTCCGAGAAGGGCAATAGCTGGGTCAAATGGTGGTTCCATTCCCAGCTTTCCCAGGAATCTCCATACTGCTTTCCAAATTGGCCGCACCAGTTTGCAGTCCCACCAGCAATGTACAAGAGTACCCTTTTCCCCACATCCTCTCCAGCACTTGTTGTTTGACTTCATAATGGCTGCCAATCTTACTGGAGTGAGATGGTATCTTAGGGTGGTTTTGATTTGCATTTCTCTGACTGCTAGAGATGGTGAGCATTTTTTCTTGTACTTGTTGATTGATTGCATGTCCTCCTCTGAGAAGTGTCTGTTCAGGTCTTTGGCCCATTTGTTGATTGGGTTATTTGTTTTCTTATTGTTTAATTTTTTGAGTTCTTTGTATATTCTGGATATTAGGGCTCTATCTGAAGTGTGAGGAGTAAAAATTTGTTCCCATGATGTAGGCTCCCTATTTACCTCTCTTATTGTTTCTCTTGCTGAGAAAAAACTTTTTAGTTTAAGTAAGTCCCATTTGTTGATTCTTGTTATTAACTTTTGTGCTATGGGTGTCCTATTAAGGAATTTGGAGCCCGACCCCACAATATGTAGATCAGAGCCAACTTTTTCTTCTATCAGGCACAGAGTCTCTGATTTGATATCTAGCTCCTTGATCCACTTTGAGTTAACTTTTGTGCATGGCGAGAGGAGGGGATTCAGTTTCATTTTGTTGCATATGGATTTCCAGTTTTCCCAACACCATTTGTTGAAGATGCTATCCTTCCTCCATTGCATGCTTTTAGCTCCTTTATCAAATATAAGATAGTTGTAGCTTTGTGGATTAGTCTCTGTGTCCTCTATTCTGTACCATTGGTCCCTTAATTTCATTTTTTGATTGTTCATTGCCCATGATGGAAGTACAACTAATTTTTTATATGGATCCTGTATCTTGTTACTTCACTGAACCTGTTTATTCTAATAATTTTTAGTGAGTTCTGAATGATTTTTTTTGGGGGGAGGGGGGGTACCAGGGATTGAACCCAGAGGTGCTTCACCACTGAGCCACATCCCTACCCCGTTTTATTTTTATTTTATTTTATTTTTTGAGACAGGGTCTTGATAAGTTGCTTAAGGCTTTGCTTAGTTACTGAGGCTGACTTTGAACTTCTGATCCTCCTGCCTTAGCCCCTAGAGCTGCTGGGGTTTACAGGCAAGCATCGCTGCCCATATTATTGATACCAGTGATGAGAATCAGCTGAGTCCTGTATCCCTGAAGCAGGCCAGAGACCCCCCCCCCTCCCAGAAGATCCCTGCCACAACTAAGCTAAACAGAATTTTTGAGGGTCTCTGGAGCCTTCACAGAGGTGTTTGCATCTCAAAGGACTATAGTCAGGTCCTGCAGAGCTAGCTGGTGGGAAGACTGGGGAGAGGGACTCTCCCTTTCCCAGACATAGATTTTTAATAGTGTCCTTGGCCTGAATTGGGTCCCCGGAACAGTGGAAAAGCTGCTTTTATGTGAACTTCTACAGATTCTGAGCCTCTGAGCCCCTCCCCTTACACACTGGGTATATAAAGTTCTAAAACTTTCTAAACTCGGAATTTCAGAGGGGTGATTTGGTAGAGGCAAAAAGCCTCCCTTTGGGGCTAGGGCTATAGCTCAGTTGGTAGAGTGCTTGGCTTGCATGCACATAGACCTGGATTTGATTCCTCAGCGTGCACGCACGCGCACACACACACACACACACACACACAAACACCTTTGAATCTGACTGCAGCCAATAAACCTGCTACCTCCTATTTCTTGGTGTCCTTCCTTGTTTGTCCTACTTCATCCCCAGTTTTGAAGAGTGAACACAGGAGAAATACCAAGGCAACCATAGAAAAAAAAGTTTTATTTAAAGGATAGAATAGAATAGAGATAGTGTAACAGGAGTCCACTTAATGCTTTGAATACAACTCTTACTGCTCTTGACACTGCAACTTATTTTTAAAATGGTCTTGTTTTTTTCTCTTCCTCTCTCCTTGCTTCTCCCTAATCTCTCTCCCACCCTAATCTCAGGGAAAATATGATTACCTTTCTTCCCCATCCTAGGCAGAGTTATTGGTCCCTGAGTACACACCCACCATAGGAAAGAAGTAATCCAAACTTTGGGGATGGTACCAGAAGATCTCAGAAACTCCCCAAAATTAACAAGTGAATTACAGCTCCAACAGAGAACACATGGAACATAGCCTTTGAGTCACCTCTTAAAAAGTTCCCTGTTCCTGCTGATGGGCAGAATCACAGCCTCTGGGACAGGACTCCTTGGTGTTTCTCCTTTGCTAGCAAAGCAATAAACCTTTTTCCTTTTTCTCAAAACTGTGTCTTTGTTATTGGATTGGCATCAAGGACAAGGACTGAGCTTTCAGCAAAACTGCCAGGTGTTTAAGACCAAGTTGGTCAAACTGACTCGTTGTTTGCTCCTACAGTCAGCTGAGATTCCTCAGAGATCACCCTTGTGTACATGTGCAAAGCATCCTGGCTCCTTTAGCTTTTCTTTACCAGTGGTGCCGCTTGCCAGGATGGGTTGGGGTTTCCTATATGGACATTTAAAAGGAAAAACTTTTTTTTAATGTAATGTAAAATGTACACTTGTGTCAGGCCTACCAAAAGTAAGTAAAGCTGAAGGCTACAAAGGAAGGGTTCTTGAGTGAGAGTGCCTAACAATAATGATCACAAGAATCACAAATTTGTCCTGAGTTAATTTGAGCCTGATTTCATAGACTTACAAATTTCCTAATCTCCCACATTGATGAACTTGGTCTGTTTTATTGATAAGATTATGAGTTCCTGTCCTTATGGTTTTCAGAGACTGGCTGAAATACTGTTTTTTGTGCTAATTATTTGAAAAAAAAAAAAAGTAATGCTTTGCTGTCTTTATTGTTGTCTTAGGATGATCCCTGCCCTATGAATGCCTTGTCCAGTCACCTGCCATCTTCCACTGTGTACCTCAGGACTGCTCGGATGCTGAATGCCCTTAACTGTCCACACCCCACCTGATAGAGAACAAGAACTTTGGGTTACTTCCCCCAACTTTGCTCCTTTTCAGCAGGAAGCAGTTTGGAGATGTTATCACCCATTTTTCCATATAAGTGGACTATAGAAAGCTGGGCATGGTGGCACATGCCTATGTAATCCTAACAGCTCAGGAGGCTGAGACAGCAGGATCATGAGTTCAAAGCCAGCCTCAGCAACTTGGTGACCCCTTGTCTCTAATAAAACATAAAAAAGGACTGGGGATGTGGCCTGGTGATTAAGTGCCCCTGGGTTCAATCCCTGGTATGAAAAAAGAAATTTAATATAGAAATTGACAGTGGCAACACTTCTCTGAAGAGAAGGGGCCCCAGAACTGGGTATCTGAGGAAGTGGGGGTGTCCTTCTCCTTTTATACATTTTAGATTTCCTTTGTTCTCATGCTATCCCCCATCGTGCCTAGATGGCCCAAAAAGTGGAGTGGAATGATCCACGGGTGGGGAAGGAGCCTTACAGGGGTACAGGCAGAAAGGAAGCATCCCAGGGGGCATTAATTAACAACTCTTTGTAGGGAGGAACAATTCTCTGGAAACAAGTAACCCTGGCAACAGGTAACCCTGGCAACAGGTGGGGGAAAAGGAAGTACTTTAGAGGTATTAATATTTCATTCCCTTTTGGGTAGGTTGTGGCTTAGTGGTAAAATGCTTGCCTAGCATGCCTAAGGCACTATGTTCATCCCTGGCACCACATAAAAATAAACAAATAAAATAAATAAAGGTATTGTGTCCATCTACAACCAAAAAAATATTTCATTCCTTTTTAATCAGCTTCCATCTTCATTCATTACCTACACTAACTATCCTTTCTGCCACCCCTCACCTGCCAAGATCATATGATCTTTAAAGATAATTACGCTTGTTCCTTTCAATATAAATACTTTTACTTCTGTTGCCAGAATGCCCTTGCTAGCACCCCCAGTGCGATGATGAATAAAAGTGGTGAGAGTGGATTCATTACCTTGTTCCTGGCCTTAGGACAAAAGAGTATATGCTTCCTTCACTAAGTATGATGTAGTGTTTTATATTTGCTTTATCTGTTTTAGTATGATCATTTCTCTTCCTACTTTGTAAAATTTTGTTAAACTTGTTTTCTGCATCTAGAGATGATCATGTGGTTTCACTAATTTTTTTGACATGGTTTGTATTATAATTTATTTGACTATTAAACCAACCTAGCATTCCTGGAATGAATCCCATATTATTCACTTCATATGTTGCTGGTTTATTGTATTTGTTGAAGGTTTTTGCATCAATATTTCCCTTGCCTGCCTTCACCTGATCCAGGTGAAGCAGTAGGGTGTGACTGATGCATCTGCTGTCTCCCTGTGCAGGCCTGAGTGGTGCTCCATCCCTCACTAAGAGGCTCTTCCTCCACAGCCAGGAGGCAGCTGCACCACTGTAAGACGTGGCTATTTTTTCTTGGCCCTTTTACTTCCTTAAATTTAGTATACAAGTTTAGGCCAGTTTCACCAGTCTTAAGGTAGGAGTACTGGGTTTTAAGTTTAATGTTTATAACTTTATAGTGATTTACCCTTTCATTTATCTGGGGGTCAGTAAAAGTACTAGAAGTTAGACTTACATTCTGTCTGTTCTGTAGGTAATGTCCTATCATCTCAAATTAACTCAGGTCGTTATATTAGAAATTGTACTTTTGCAAGGCACTAACAGACGATAGTTATAAAAAATACAAGGAAAATACAAAATAAAATTAACAAAAGTAAAAACATATTGAGTTTGTATAATAACTATGAACATAATAGCTAAAGGAAATATGGCTGCAGATGTAGCCCTGCAAAGCCTGCTTTACAGGGTTTTTCAATTGCCACATTCCTATGGGAAAATTATTTTCTGTCTTCTGAACTCCCAATGGAAGAGGCTCAACAGGCTGTAGGGATACAAGTAGACCATAGAGAATGGTGGGTTTCTCCTAATGACACCCTATTACTCCCTGAAGCATCCCAGTGGAAGATTCTAAAGTTGATCACTTCTACTATTTGGGAAGAGATAACACTCTTACCCTAAAACAGAAAATATTTTCAGAAAAGGGCTTAAGGGACACAGTCCAACAGATCATCCAAAGCCATAAAAGCTGCCTTATGTTTTTTGCCTTTCCTTGGGCTCTTACAGCCCTGTTGCTTATTCTTCTTTTTGGTCCTTACATTATCTGTTTGCTTATTCACTTTGTTTCCTTTCGTGTAAAGGCAATAAAATGGAGTCCCAATGGCCATCCCTCCAGACTTCTACCATGGATCCATCAACAGACCCACTGATATATACCATCAGTGTTGGCCTCTGGATTGGCCTGCTGCTTCTCACTTGTCCTAGAACTTCCTCAGAAGGATATCCCTGTTACTCTGATGATGCCCCTTGTCAGCCTGAAGTAAGTAGTCACTGCCCCAACTCCCAACAGTAGCTGGGGTATCCTCTGAGAGAGGGGATTAGGGTCAATGTAGAAGAGCTTAGGTAGCCAGGGCAAGGTGATGAGTGAGGAGGTCAAGGGCAGGGCCAGAACAAAGGAGCATGGAGAGGGTCTTCTAATGAGGTCAATTTCCTGTTTGACAAAAGGCTCCTGGACACAAGTGGGGGACCCAATCAGATAGACACTTCTATACTTGTGCTCCTAAGTGGGGGATCCAATACAAAAACAACAGATGTCTGGTCAGAGGGGGGTACCAATCAATAATAGTAACAAGAAAAAATGGGAAGAAAAATTAAAAAGAAATAAATTAAAAGGTACAAAGTTTCAATTATGCTAGGTGAGTTCTGTGGTCTACTACTATATAGCATAGTGCCTATGGCAATATTGCATATTTAAAATGCACTGAATGAGTAGATCTTACAGCCAGGCGTGGAAGCGCAGTCCTGTAATCCCAATGGCTTGGGAGGCTGAGGGAGGAGGATCAGGAGTTCAAAGCCAGACTCAGCAACTATGAAGCACTAAGCAACTGAGAGAGACCCTGTCTCTAAATAAAATACAAAATAGGGCTGGGGATGTGGCTCAGTGGTCAAGTGCCCCTGAGTTCAATTTCCAGTAACCCCCCTGCCCAAAAAAGTGGATCTCACAATGTGGTTTTTTTTTTTTCCACAAAAATGAAAAGGAAAAAGAAGAAAAAGAAAAAAGCCATAAAGCTTGGAGGAGGAATTTACAGCCTTGATGGTGGTGATGGTAACTTAGTGTATCTTACCCCAAATTCACTGAGTTGTAAACATTATGTACAAAAACAAATAAAATATAGGACTTGCTCTACTGCCTACCAGTGCCTTCAGTCCACGTAGAACTACACAAACTCAGCTGCCATCGCAGTGGTGGTCACCACCAACACGCCCGGCTGGGTCGACCTGGGGAGAAGTAGAAGGCTACTTGCAGCGCTCATGGCCTAGGGCGACATACCTGTCGCAGGACCGTCGTCTTTAATGCCATGACACACTTCAAGCTGGCCTTGGGCCTGGTGTCCCGGAGCAGAACCACAGAAGAGGTTTTGTTCCATGTGACTTGTGGAGGGAAGGCTCTCAGAGCCTGAAGAAAGCAAGGCACCACCTAGGCGTGGGCGGCAGGTGCGTAGTCGCCTATGGAGACTGGCTTTGACCTAATTTCAGGGTGCCATGGAGCTCCGTGGCCTCAGACTCCCTCTGAGGCGAAATACCGGGCCTTCATCTGCCAGCCTCAGCCAGCACTGAGGAATGTGAGGCAAAAAAAGTGCAGGCCGAGCAGTCACCTGTCAGCCTTTGGGAGGCCCTCGCTAAGCAGCACGCACGCGGCTAAAGCCAGAATCCCGAGGGCGTTGCCAGAGGCCGGGGATATCGGGGGCGGGACTCCGGGAGTTGCCAGAGGCGGGGGCTGGGAACTCTGCCGGGTAGAGGGGGACTCGTGGGGCGTTACCAGGGGGTGGGGACTTGGGGGCGTTACCAGGGACCTCGGACTCGGGGGCGTTAGCGGAGGGTGTGGTGCTTGGGGGGCGTTGCCGGGGGCGGGGATTCGCGGGGGCGTTAGGGGGAACTGCAGGCGTTGCCAGAGGCGGGGACTGGGAGCTTTGCCGGATGGGCGGGGACTCGTGGGGCGTTACCGGGGACCTCGGACTCGGGGGCGTTAGCGGAGGATGTGGTGCTTGTGGGGGCGTTGCCAGGGGGCGGGGCTGGAGCGTTCCCAGGGACCGGGACCCGCTGGGGCTCGGGAGGACGTTGCCAGAGGACAGTGACTTGCGGGCAGGTGCTGAGGGCGGAGACCCGTGGGAAAAGCGGCCCCAGAACTCGGGAGCCCCGCCCCTTTCGCGTTTTCCGGCGCGCGGGCGGACGTGACGCCAAGCTGGGGCGACGCCTGTCAGTCAGGGCTGCCGGTTCCTGCTCAGAAGCCGCTAGCGGACCGGGAGCGGCGGTCGCTGGGCGAGGCTTCGGTGGAGTCCCGCCCGTTCCCTAGCCCGACGAGTGGACACGATGCGGTTGGGCTCCGGGGCCTTCGCTGCCAGCTGCGTAGCGATTGAAGTGCTTGGGGTCGCGATCTTCCTGCGGGGATTCTTCCCGGCTCCCGTTCGCTCCTCTTCCAGGACCGAGCACCGAGCAGAGCCCCCGGCGCCCGAGCCTGCTGCTGGTACGGATCCCTTCGCCAGTGTCCCCCGGCCCTGCTTCCTGCAGAGGACGCTCCCCCTGAGCCCGACGTTTCCCGGGGGAGGGGCTTCTCTTCCCCTGTGGTCCCCAGCCCGAGAAACCGCTTTTACCGCCCTGGTGCCTTTTTCAGTGCCCTACAACTTTGGCACCCTACCGCCACTTTCCTTGGATTACCACAGTCAGCTCCGCGTACCCAGGCCCCATCCCTCCCTCTGCCCATCCAGAGGGCCCCCCCCCCAACTTTTCCGAATAGGTCACATTGCTGCTGATCCCTCACGTTTTCTGTTTTATCCCAAGCCCGGCCCCCCTTGTTTTTAGACCACGGTAGTTAAAGGCCTTTCTGCATCAGGCCCCTTCCTGTCCCTCACCTACACAGCAGTACCCACTAGGTAAAAGCTCCCTGGTTCTGGACCAGGACCACAGAATACCAGCCACCGGCCATGTAAATGCAGTTTGCAAAGCCACCCATCGTTAGGTCAAGGTCAGTGTTCCTGAATGGGACACTCAGGGACTTTAATGTAGGGACTTCCCCTGCCCCAGTTACTCCTTGCCATACTAAGGGCAATCCACTGCTTATTATTGGGGCTCCCTGTGCTTACTCACTATCAACACCTTCTTCTCTCCAGCACTGCCTACCAAGAACAGCCCTTCTTTTGGGTTGCCATACACAGATAGGACAGGTTGTATGCTGGAGAAGCACACAGAAGCAAGGTTTTGAAGGCGCTTGAATGGTAAGTTTAAATTGTAATTTCCCTTTTTTCTTTCAAACGCTTTTAGGAGCCCGTTCCAACTGGACCAAGCTACCACCTCCTCTCTTCAATAAAGTTGTCATTGTGCTGATAGACGCCTTGAGAGATGATTTTGTGTTTGGGTCAAAGGGTGTGAAGTATATGCCCTACACAAGTTATCTTGTGGAAAAAGGAGCATCTCACAGTTTTGTGGCTGAAGCAAAGCCACCCACAGTGACTATGCCTCGAATCAAGGTAAGCTTGACTTGATTTTTTTGTAAATCATGGTTTGGCTCCTTTGAAGGCTTACAGGGATTCTGTAGTCCTCTGTTTGGAGTCCCAGTTTCCATTAAGTGAAAATTAGTTTGGTGCTGTCAGTTTTACTGGGGTGATAGAACATTAACGATGCTTCACAGTCAGGGTGGAGCTGAGACCTGTGATTTGTGTCCCTTGTCAAGTAGCCAGAGCTCAGGCATCATGGGAAGTAAAAAGGATTTAAAGCCAGATCAACCAGGCCAGCCCAAGAGACATCCTTCTCTGTAGCCTACTCTCTTTAATCACCAATGGGTTAGTTACAACCCTGCAAGGAAAGTTTTGAGTTGCCAAATCTAATCTTGACTTTATGCATAAGAAGGCAAACTCAGATAATTATTTGACTTGCCCAAAATTGCAGAATACATAAGATCAAACTGTATCACCTGCCCTTACAATTCTACTACGTAAACCCATTAAGCTTGGTAAGAGTGGTTTTCAAGTACCTAGTGCTTTACCCAAGAATCATGGATAAATAAAAACATAAAACTCTATTGATTGTCTCAGGAAATTTTTTTTAATAATTATTTTTTTAAGAGAGAGAGAGAGAATTTTAATATTTATTTTTTAGTTTTCGGCGGACACAATATCTTTGTTTGTATGTGGTGCTGAGGATCGAACCCCGGGCCGCACGCATGCCAGGCGAGCACGCTCCTGCTTGAGCCACATCCCCAGCCCAAGGAAATTTTTATCTATAGATTATCATATGTTGATATTGTGATGGGGATACGCTGGGGGTGGGTTAGTATCTCTGCTTTCCTGGGGCTTTTAGTCTCTGGAGAGATACATAGACATTCTATTCAACAAATAAGCATAAAATAAATGTGCAGTTATAAAGTGTTAAAGTGTGATGAGCACATGATGGAAAAGAATAGAATGTGATACCCAATGTGGGTATGGGGCTTGTATGAGGAAATGACATTCAAACAGAGACTGGTAGAATGAGTATGGGAGTGGGGGCAGAAGAAACTGAGGCATTGAGTGTGGCTGTACTGCATGCTGTGTGGTATAAAATCTGTGTCTGATTGATAATGTGAGTTCGAAGACTGGATCAGAATGAGCTGCTACTTGATTTAAGACTTGGAGGCAGTATTTGTGGGTGTTCAGTAAATCTGTCCACTTGATGGAAAAAGTTTGGACTGAAGGCAGGTAAGTGCTGTATCATTCCATGACTCTGTCTGTGAGTTTCCCATGCTGTCTGCCACCTTGGGATGTGGTATGTCTTTCACTCAGTGATACTGAGCAGCTACTACACACCTCATCATGTTCTAGACTAGAAGGATTCAGTGGAGAACAAGACAGCAACAGCCTCATGAAGCTTACTTTCTAATGGGAAAGACAGAAAATATAAGTATGTGAAAGGAATTGAAAAGGGGGACAGTGATGGAGTGATGGGTGAGGGAGGGCATCTGCATCACCATGCTCAGGAGCAGTCTCAGAAGCTGCTCTTTTGTTGAAAGCAGAACGTACTGTCGAAGCTAAAAGAAAGGTGTCAGGTTCCTGTTCACCAGGGACACTGATGTCTTTATTTCAGAGATTAAGCCCTGTCAGAACTGTGGAAGGAACCTTTTCTCCTTTATTCTTTTAATAAAAATGTCATTGAGACTCCAGTTTGAGAAAATGTGCAAGTACTCTGCAAGCTTTGGGTTCTGTCCAGACCAGCATGTTGGCTTCCCCTCAAATGAGCCCCATGAGTTGGTCCTGTGAGAAAGGTACTGTGCTCAGCTCCATTTCCAGAGGAGGGAGTAGAGACTCATGGAGGTAAAATCACAGCATCAGAACTGAGAATGGCCCTATTTGTCTGATTCTAGAGCCTCTGGTGTCCTACAACTGTACTGAAAAATAGAATAACAAAGTAAGTTCTCTTTAAAGCGTGTCTGCATAGCTTTCCCTAGTTCTGAGAAGTCAAGAGTCCACTCCTCCTAAAGCCACAGCAACACCATTAATGACAGATGGATGTCTCCTTCAGATTTCCTGGAGCTGCAACTGCAACCCAGCTGCCAGCTGCATTCTCCACAGCCAAGGGATGACCAAGTAGAACCAGCTATCCTTAATCAGTGGGAACTCAAACTAGAGTGAGAGCAAGGAATGGCTTTGTAAAAGCCACAAAGGGAGGGCGAGTAGATTTGACTGTATGAAAGCAGGACACTTTTTATGTGGCAAAAAAGTTTGCTAACAGATGATAAACTGAAAAAATTATTTACAGTAGACAAAACAAATAAGGTGGTTAGTCCATGATATGTAAGGTGGGATCAGATCCAGGATGGGCAATCCAGGGGAAACCTGGGAAGGACATAAAGAAACCCATGAGGGAAGAATGTGAAGTGGTCAGTAAACATAGAAAATTCTCAACCTTACTAGTAATCAGAGCAAGGCAAATTAAAAACAATCCATAACACCAGGTCTGTCTGTCACACTGTAAAAATTAAAAGATTGGTAGTGTCTGTTCCTCACAAGGAATGAGGTGAACATATGCTATGAGGTATTGTGGGTGTGGGTGGGTGTCCCTAGCTTGGGCCATCATTTCCTCTGTTAGCACTGTGGTCCATCTGCCATGGTTTCCAGCCAGGACAACAAACGTTTCCCCCCACCTCCTTCTGCCCAAAGTATGGCTCAGTCAGATCACACTCCTGCCATTCTTAAAACCTTCTAGTGGCTTAGCCTCTGTCCTCTCTGAGCTCCAACTTTCAAGGCTCTGTGTGGTTTTGCTCCCTTTGTCCCCATCCGTATCAAGCTGCTCACCCCCTTCCATGCTTTTCCTTCATGTTGGCCATGCCTGACTCAGGTCCTTAAGTGCACTGTTCTTTTCTGCTCTGGGCCTTTGCAGTTTTCTGTTTTCTCCTAGAAAACTCTATATCACCTCTACAGTTCCTCAGCTCAAATGGCACTTCCACAGGAAATTGGAAAATAAATGTTCATTAAGATGGTCTTGGTTAAATATGTTGTGTATTCATACACTGGATCACTTTGAAACTGTTAAGTGTCTTTAAATAAAGTGGTATATTTCCTGGGGAAAGAGGTTCATGATATGTTTCTAGAATTTGAGATTGTTTGCATATAGGAAAGAATCTGAAATGGCACTCACCTCAAGTCCCTGGTTGCCTATAAGAGTAGGATTTGGGGATGGAATTTGCATTCAGAGTTTAAAGAATAACTTTGCTGAGATGATTTTCATACAGTGCCATACACATATTTTTGTATATACAATATGATGAGATTTAGCAGATAACGTATATCCAGTCAACCCTACTTCAAATCTGAATTCTGACCCCCATGCTGGGAGCAGTAGTGGTAGTTGTTGCTCTTATTCTGTACGAATTTGTTTGAGCTAGTCTGTACAGTCTTTCTCCCCCAGAGTATGCAGCAAATGATGTCTCTGCTTAATTGTGGTTAGGGTTTTGTTTGTTTTGTTATTTTTTATCATTTTTTTTCCAAGCACATCATGCAGTATGGTGTCCACCCTCTTTGTAGGTTGGAACTCACAGGCACTGTTCAGTCAAGCCTGCTCTGTCGCTGTTTTTCTAAGTAGGGCTCCCTGCTCAGGGAGAAGGAGCAGGTGACTGGGGTTCTTGCTACCACTCTGGATTCCCAGAAATATGTGGAGCTTAAAAATGTCAGCTATAACTGTCTCTTGCTCTAGATCCCCATTTTAAATGTCTGGCTGGGCTTTTGCTTGTGTCGTTGGCCTTTCCTGATTGTACAACTTCTTGGGCATGGGGCTTTTCTACAGTCACATTAGGTCAGGTTCTTCATGGTTGCCATGTCACAGAACTGGGATAGGAAGAGGCAGGAGCAGCCCTATGAGAAACCACAGGTACAGTAGTTTTTCTTGAATACATGCTTCTCAGTTGGTTGTACAGTTCTGGTCAATTTCAAACTTCTTGAATGGTTGTTTTTGATATTTTTGCCTGTTTTCCATCGCTCTTGGGGGAGAGTATTTGCTAAGCCCCCTGGCATTCCAGATGTCTGGTTAATTCACATTTCTCTTCGGTAAGAGGTGTAGTTCAGTAGTAGGGCTCTAGCCCAGCATGTGTGAAGCTCCGAGCTTGATCTCCATTGACATGCATGCACACACATTCACATCTATTTGCTATTGAAGAAGTCTTGGCAGAATTCCTGCACTTGTTGGAATTGTCCATTTTCCTATTTTCTGTGGCACAGGTCCCTGGATGATGATGTTGAGGGTGGTTGTGTAATTCCAAACCATGGAGATCTATCACTGTGGCCTGAAGTTCTATGCTAAAAAATGGGGGTGGTTGTTGACTCAATTCTCCATTATTAGAAAGATACAAGAATATGTCACACCCACCTTCTCCTTCCAGTAAACATGACACAACATTGGGGAAGGTGGCCAAAGGGCCCTGCTCACTTTGAGAGCTCCTAGGAGTCATGTGTATAGGTGGCTTTCCTCCTGTTTATCATTCAGAGATAGTTAGACTTGCTGGATTGTCCGAGTTTGGAGTGGAACTCAAGTTTGTGACTTACGTACACCATACTTAGCCACATGAGGTGTTTCAACTCACTAACGCATGGCTTCTCTGGCCACTGCTGTTGTCTGACTCTTCCTAGCCTCTTCCTTTATTGTCTTATCAGGGAAGGAATTGCTCTGTGCCATGCTCTTTGTTTTAGTCAGGTCTGCATTATTGGGTTGGCTGGTTTTGAGCAGTATCTTTGTGCTTGCCCTGCTTCACACAGGTGCTATCCTCATGTTGGCTCAGCCTCCAGTATTGGGCAGACATTTCACCTGTCAGGTTGTCAGGTAGTCTTTTGCCTCTGTTGCTGTGCCTTTGGATTCAGCAGTCTAACTGTAAAGTGTTTTCTCCCACAGGCATTGATGACAGGGAGCCTCCCTGGCTTTGTAGATGTCATCAGGAACCTCAATTCTCCTGCACTACTGGAAGACAGTGTGATCAGACAAGCAAAAGCAGCTGGGAAGAGAGTGATCTTTTATGGAGATGAAACATGGGTTAAGTTATTTCCAAAGCATTTTGTGGAATATGATGGAACAACCTCATTTTTTGTGTCAGATTATACAGAGGTCAGTTTTTAAAATAAGAGAAATATGCCATCCTAGATAGAGCCTGGCACCACCATCATCTAGTGTTATTTTGAGTGTGACATTTATTAATTTATGGAGTAGTGTGGGAAATTGCAACCATCATTCATCCGTGTAATCAGTCACAACTGGGGACATGCACCCAGGTGTGGGTGTGAGGAGAAGTCTACGGAACCCATGTACAGAATAGCTGAACACCCACTGAGGATGGGGAAGGGCACCATGCAGATGAGCTGTCAGGGCAGACTCTGATGGGTGAGTGGGGGCTTCCTGAGCAGGCAGAACAGGGAGGCAGCAACCAGTACAGCACAGATGTAGCACCACTGCCAGGGATCCTCTGGCTTTTTGGTTCTGCAGGTGGTCCTGAGGGGCCCTGGCCTATGCTGGGGTGCAGACTCCAGCAAAGGAAGAGTAGGATTAGACTCATGTGCTAGAAGTTGGCTCCAGGAGCAGGAGCACCAGTATACCAGCATGTCTATCTTGGCAGCTGGGATCAGATGGCCTCAGATTTCAGTGTGCCACAGCTGGGGAGCATCTGTGGTCCTGCTCACACAGGTACCTTCTCCAAAGGTGTGCCCTTTCCCATCTACCAGGGCAGGCACCACATTACTTACCAGCAGTAATGCACTTCCCACAGTGTATATGCTTGTGCACAGGAACACTTCTCTCTGCAGTAGATGTATTGGGGGAGGGAAAGGGCTAGCTGAGGGGTCAGGGCTGAGCAGTCTACCAGCAAGGTCGGGAGCTGCTCAGCTGCTAATCTCTCCATCATGTGTTTGTTTTAGAAACAAGAGCCCATAAGTGCTGTCTCTTTCCTTCCAAGAATAGCCTTCTCATGGGACTGCTGGTTACTCTAACTCTGGGTACTGTCCTGTCTTAGCTGCCCGTTGCCCTTGTTACCCCATGGCAACTTGGGGACAATTTAACTTGCTCCTTTGGGTAGCTTTTAGTTAAGCCTAGCAGTGATCCCACAGAAAAATTTTTTGTCATATCAGCCCTTGCTCATTTAAATTGTCTGTATGATATGTCCTGTCCACAACTTAGAGAAATAAAAACAATAGCAGTGAGACTTAATCTAATATTAATGTTCATTTACTTATTTTTAATGACATAAGGATTTTTGTTTTGTCTCGGTTTGTGTTTTGTCTTTTCAGTTCCCATGAGTCCTGTGACCTAAAGTAAAATAAACCCCTAGATTTTAAAATGGCGGCTGCTTTTTCCCTGGCAGGGAAAATTGGGCAAGCCATTTACATGCACATTTCCCCTTCAAAGGTAGATGATAACGTCACAAGGCATTTGGATACAGTATTAAAAAGAGGAGATTGGGACATGCTAATCCTCCACTACCTGGGCCTGGACCACATTGGCCACATTTCTGGGCCCAACAGCCCCCTGATTGGGCGCAAGCTTAGTGAAATGGACAGCATCCTGATGAAGATTCACACCTCACTGCTGTCCAAGGTGAGACTTCTGGGGCTCATCGCATGAGGATGGGTTTAGCATTGCTGATCTTCAGAGAACAGACCTACTTAGGTGAGTGCCACACTCCTGGCTATGCTCAGTCTTCCCAGTAATCCTGAACACCTTCCATTTCACTGTTCTTTGGCAGTGGAGCTCATATTCTGTCCAGGAGAGGCAAATAAGAAGGTAATAACCAAGAAACCAGTATGTTCAAAAGCAATTGGTGCAAAGGAGAACACAGGCGGAGGGAGCGGCACCCCTGTTCTGAGGACCTGCCATAGTTTTAAATGGCCTTCTGTGAAGACCTGCACAGTGTGAGCAGAGAATTAAAGGGAGAGAGGGGTAGACACTTTGCCTGCAGGTGGGTGCCAGCCAGAGAAGCAGCAGAGGCCCAGCAGAGCCTGGCTGCCACAACAGGAGCAGTAAAGGCCCATGGGATCTCCTCACGTGGCTCAAAGCTCTCTCTGGGTGCTGGGGTTTTATCCTCAAACCGTCCTGTAATACATCCACTGTCAGATGAGGAAACTGGGAGTCTCATGCCTGGGGCATGGAAGTGGTAATGACAAATCCTTAGCTTGGGAGACCACAAACAGCCTTCCTGCACTCTCTGAGCTACATTTGGTCCAGTGTGTTTCTCCCATGCCATCACTTGACTCAGACCCTTCAGTCTGGCTCTAGGCTCATGGAAAAAGAAATCCAGTTTGCTGAGGAGTGCCCATTGATGAAGGAGAGCTAAAATCTGCACTGCTCCTTGGCAGGATCACATGCTCTGCAGTGTGATGGCAGCTGACCCGGTCCCCTTGCCTTTCAGGAGAGAGAGACTCTCTCACCCAGTTTGCTGGTTCTTTGTGGGGACCACGGCATGTCGGAGACGGGGAGTCATGGGGCCTCTTCCACAGAGGAAGTAAGCACACCTCTGATCCTAATCAGCTCTTCATTTGAAAGGAGACCCGGTGAGAACTTAGCAGCGTTTAACATTGTGAAACTGTCTGGTTTTAATTTTTAAAAACTAAACAGGTTTCAAATATTGTAAGCCATATGGAATAAGAATTAAGGGGAGAGGGGCAGTAAGGATTTGGAATTCACACCCCTGGCTGTAATTCTTAAAATACAAATACTCTGTATAGGAATTTTGTTGTTGGAAGTTACTGCCTGGGTATCTGGAATTATTAAAAGAAAACTGCCAGCATCCAGGTGCAGTGGCACACGCCTATAATCCCAGTAGCTCGGGAGGCTAAGACAGGAAGATTTCGAGTTCCAAGCCAGCTGCAGCAATGGTGAGGTGCTAAGCAACTCAGTGAGACCCTGTCTCTAAATGAAATACAAAAGAGGACTGGGGATGTGGCTCAGTGGTTGAGTGCCCCTGAGCTCAATCCCTGGTACCCCTCGACCCACAAAAAACCTGCCAGCAGCTTTTAGAAATTTGAACTGCATGTATGACTGAAGGAAATGTGAATATGTAAACTTTTAAAAATGTATCTGCTGTGTAAAGCCACACATTGAACAACAGTGTCGGCCAGTTGGGGACGCAGTCAGAGCAGGATTGGCTGAGGCCCATTCCTCAGTTTCTGATGTGACACCCTCTCTGACCCACAGTGCTGTAAGTTCCTCAGGGCTACCCACCCTGCCATCCTGTCAGTCCCCATGGGTCTGGCCTGTGCCTCCACAACTTGACTGACACATTCACAGTGGATGCAGCAATTATTTATATTATGCAGCTGAGTCCAATGGATAGTTTCTAACTCTGGTCTCACCCACCCTGCAGTATCAGTCATGCTGGCCCCAAAGCTCCTGGAGCTGCCCATTTTTCTGATTTTTCTCCCAGCTCTCTTTCTCAGTCCTTATTGCTAGCTCAGCCTCGTTCCTGATCTTTTTTGCAGTCTGCCTTTTTGTGTTATTCTACCCTAGCTCCTAAGGGTGTGCTTGTCCACTTCTTCATCAGTGGTTGAAAATACCACAGATAGGCCACACCTGCCAGGTTTCCTCCACTCTCTGACCTCCAAAACTATATACACCCTGCTGCTCCCCTGCCCCTGAACTTGGATCTCACAGATAGAGCCAGTGTGGCAGCTTCACACCTGAACTGTCTCCCAAGTTTGTCCTTCCTTATCCCTGCCAGCAGATGTCACCACTGTCCACATGGGTCCCTCTTGCCCCACTTCTTCCTCACTCTCCACATTCCTTTCCATCAAATTTCCCTGTACATAAAACCTTTCAGTGGTTAAACTTAGGATAAAGATCCCATAAAGGCTTCTTGCCAGCCCTACTGTTTCATCCTACCACTTTCCCCATTGCTTATGTACCCTACCTCTGCCCTCAGCAGGCACTTCCTCACCTGCCAACACCCTTGTCCTCACCCCTGTGGTCTCCTGCCCCTTGGTCCTAGTCTAAGTCACATCCCCTATCAGCTCTTCCACTGCACCCTTTGCTCCCTGCATCATTCTTCACCAGCTTTGTCATTATAGGCTTGTTTGTGGGGTTCACAACAATCTGCCTTCTCTTTCCACACTGAGCCAGAGGGGGGCAGGACCACTATATGCCAAGAGCCCCAGACATTGCCTGATGTGTGACAGGTGCCAAGAATTATTTGCTAAATGAATGAATCTTCAAACTAAGGGAGGATTGGTTCGGGAAGTGCTTCCACCTGCTTCTGGCTCTTCATAGCTTTCTCCTCTTGGGTGTCTGGCCCCTAAGATGTATCACTGGCTCTTATAACCCAGCCTTTCCCGGTGACAGCTTAAAAGCCTGCCTCCTGGTTGGTGTACACACTGAGCCACAGCAACCAGTTCTGGTGCCTGATTCCACATCCACACCCTGGGCAAGGTCATTGTGCATCTCTCATATCTGAAAGAGGGCCCCTTCCTTCATCCACTGTTTGGTCACTCAAAAGGGGTTTATTGAGCACCTCTGATAGCCAGCTGCTGTGCTGGGCACCACTGGATTAACAAAAAGGAGCAGGCACAGCCTTTGCCATGGAGAAGGTGAAAAAGAGACTGTCAAGCTGACATTCTTTATGTGGGAATGTTAGAGTCATTGTGTAACAGAATGCCAACATTTCATCTCTAAGGCTTGTATTTAAGCATCAGTAGGGTTGGCGTTGTGGCTCAGTGGTAGCGTGCTCACCTAGCAAGCGTGAGGCCCTGGGTTCGATCCTCAGCACCACATAAAAACAAATAAAGGTATTGTGTCCATCTACAACTAAAAAATAAATATATATTAAAAAAAAAGAATCAGTGGCACTGTCCATGAGTGCTGTGGGTACAACGGGCTTGGGTCCTGATAGTGGCTCTGTGTGGCTTCCCAGCAGCAGGTGCTTCTTAACCGCCATTGGCCACATCTTGAGCCATATTACGTGCCCTATTGTATCTTCACAGAGATGGGCGAGTCATCACAGTCAATTTTAGGACATTTCCATCTTCTCAAAAAGAGGCCCCTTGCTTTTGGCCCCTACCCTCCATTCCCCGCAGTGTGGGCAGTCACTGCTTTGCTTTTGGTGTCTGTGGATGGGCCTCCTGAATGTGTCACATGCAGGGAAGCAGTCCCATTGTAGCCTCAGTGCTGCACTTAAGGTAATGCTTCTCCAGGCTCATTGGTCTTTGTTCCTTTCTGTTGTGGAACCATATTCCGTGGTGTGGACAGACCACATTCCCATTCACTGGTGGAGGGGCCCTTGGCTGCTTCTGTTTTGCTGCTGTGAACACTGTGTGCTGTGTTTGGGAGGGCATCAGTGTTTTCCTCCTGGGCAGCTCTGCCCTGCCAGACATGCTGCATTTCTGTTTGCTGGCAGCTGGCTGCTGGCAGCAGGATGGTATACATACAGTTTTATATCATTGCTTTTCTAATCAGTTCAGAGGAAGCAGAAGAAATGTGCTTCTGCACTATCTCTTAGGTCTACATGATCACCTCCACTGCTGTTCTTTCCTTTTATTATTATTTATTTATTCTAATTTGTCATACACGATGACAGAATGCAATTCATTTCATATTACACATGTAGAACACAATATTTCAAGTCACTGATTGTACACAAGTATTTCACACCATTCGTGTCTTCATACATGTACTTAGGGTAAGATGTCTACTCATTCCACCATCATTCCTACCCCCTTGCCTCCTCCTTTCCCCTCCCTCCCCTTTGCCTTATCTAAAGTTCCTCCATTCCTCCCAGGCTCCCCCTCCATTGCCATTATGAGTCAGCATCCTCATATCAAAGAAAACATTTGGCCTTTGGTTTTTTGGGATTGGTTCGCTTCACTTAGCTTTATATTCTCCAACTTTATCCATTTACCTGCAAATGCCATGATTTTATTCTCTTTTAATTCTCAGTAATGTCCATTGTATATATGTACCAAAGTTTCCCTATCCGTTCAGCTACTGAAGAGCATCTGGGTTGGTTCCACAATTTTTTAAAAAATATTTTTAATTGTAGTTGGACACAGTATCTTTATGTTATTTATTTATTTTTATGTGGTGCTGAGGATCGAACCCAGGTCCTTGCACGTACTAGGCAAGCACTCTACCACTGAGCCACAACCCCAGCCCTGGTTCCACAATTTAGCTATTATGAATTGTGCTGCTATAAACATTGATATGGCTGTGTCCCTGTAATATGCTTTTAAGTCCTTTGAGTATAAGCCAAAGAATGGAATAGCTGGGTCAAACGGTGATTCCATTCCAAGTTTTACAAGGAATCTCCGTACTGCTTTCCAGATTGGCTGCACCAATTTGCAGTCCCACCAGCAGTGTATGAGTGTGCCTTTTCCCTCACATTCTCGCCAACACTTATTGTTGTTTGTATTCTTGACAACTGACATTCTGACTGGAGTGAGGTGAAATCTTAGAGTAGTTTTGATTTTCATTTCTCTAATTGCTAGAGATGTTGAACATTTTTTCATATGTTTGTTGATTGATTGTATATCAGCTTCTGAAAAGTGTCTGTTCAGTTCCTTGGCTCATTGATTGGGTTATTTGGTTTTTTGGTGTTAAGGTTTTTGAGTGCTTTTTATATCTTAGAGATTAGTGCTCTATTTGATGTGCTTGTGGTAAAAATTTTCTCCCATTTTGTAGGCTCTCTGTTCACCTCATTGATTGTTTCTTTTGTGAGAAGAAGCTTTTTAGTTTGAATCCATCTCATTTATTGATTCTTGGTTTTAATTATTGCGCCATAGGAGTCTTATTAAGGAAGTTGGAGCCTAATCCGACATGATGGAGATTTGGGCCTATTTTTTCTAATATTAGGCGCAAGGTCTCTGGTTTAATTCTTAGGTCCTTGATTCACTTTGCATTGAATACTGTGCATAGTGAGAGATAGAGGTTTGATTTCATTTTGTTACATGTGGATTTCCAGTTTTCACAACACCATTTGTTGAAGAGGCTATCTTTTCTCCAATGTACATTTTTGGCACTTTTTTTTGGCGGGGGGAGGGTACCAGGGATTGAACTCAGGGCACTTGAGCCACATTCCCAGCCCTATTTTGTATTTTATTAGCGACAGGGACTCACTGAGTTGCTTAGCACCTTGCTAAATTGCTGAGGCTGGCTTTGAACTTGCAATCCTTCTGCATCAGCCTCCTGAGCCACTGGAATTATAGGCGTGCACCACCATGCCTGGCAGCATCTTTGTCTAATATAAGATAACTGTAGTTATGTGGGTTAGTCTCTGTGTCCTTTGTTCTGTACCATTGGTCTATAGGACTATTTTTGTGCCAATACCATGCTGTTTTTTTTACTATTGCTCTGAGGTATAGTTTAAGGTCTAGAATAATAATGCCACCAGCTTTACTCTTGCTAAGGATTGCATTGGGTATTCTGGGTCTCTTATTTTTGCAGATGAATTTCATGATTGCTTTTTCTATTTCTGTGAGGAATATCATTGGGATTTTGATTGAGATTACATTGAATCTGATTTAGTGCTTTTGGTAGTATGGTCATTTTGACAATATTAATTCTGCCT